ACCTTCGTTTTCTGCTGCATCACCGTTGAGGTGCTCGTCATAGTACTGCTTCCACCACTCAATCACCTCACACTCGTTCGTGAGAAGGTTACCGTCCATGTCCTTGCACATATCGGGTTGCGGAACGTAGCCTTTGCGTGATCTTTAGCTTGTCATAGAACTTCCGTGTGTCGTTTACGCGGTACAGATTTTCCATCGCCTCGCGATCTCGGTCTTCCTACTAACGCTTTTTCCTTCGAAAAACCGAGTTTTGTCTGTTCCGCGCTTGTCTGTATTGCTCCACATTCAATCTCGCCCGTGCTGCATTCTTCTGTTGCTCTTCTGCTGCTGTTTGCATTCGCCGTCAAACCAGTCATTTCTTCGGTCCGGGATTGCAGTACCTAGTGCCGCTGCAGCAGTACTATCTAAAGCGGAACGAATGTCCCTCCAGCCATCTTCAAGAGAAGCTGGTAGTGCACCTTCCAGCTGCTGCGCGTAGTCCTGGGCAACTCCGGCGTCCCGTAGTTGCTCAATGTTGCGTCGCGGCGTTCGACTTTCACGGGTGTTATGCACCGTCGAGAGTTTTGAGCGCATGCATACTACAACTAGGTAGTGGTCCGAATCTATGTTCGCACTGCGGTACGTGCGGACGTTAATAATGTCGGAGAAGAATTTCCCGTCGTTTAGAACGTGATCGATTTGGTTTTCTGTGTGTTGGTCAGGTGATCTCCAGGTGGCTTTGTGGATATCCTTGCGGGGGAAAAAGGTACTTCGAACTACCACACCCCGAGAGACTGCAAAGTTCACGCACCGTTGGCCGTTGTCGTTCGATACATTGCCTCCCGTCCTACCTGAGCGTTCATTTCGGCGATAACGATTTTGACGTCCCGTTGACAGCCGCCGTACACCTGCTCCAGCTGCGCATAGAACGTTTCTTTCTCGTCGTCGGTTCTCCCTTCGTGTGGGCAGTGCACGTTGATGATGCTGTAGTTGAAGAAACGGCCCTTCAATCCTCAACTTGCACATCCTCGCGTTGATCGGCTGCCAACCAATCATGCGTTGGCGCATCTTACCCAGCACTACAAAGCCGGCTCGTTGGTGGTGCCACAGCTGTGGTAGAAAGTAGCCGCTCGATGCCCGCTTTTCCATACCTTTTGTCCCGTCCAGCAAAGTTCCTGCAGTGCTACGACTTCAAAGTTGCGTGGTTGAAGTTCGTCATAGATTAACCTATCGCAGCCCGGGAAGCCGAGCGATTTGCAGTTCCATGTTCCGAGATTCCAATCGTAGTCCTTATTTTGTCGCGTAGGTCTGTGCCGATTGTTCCGATCCGTATTTCTTTCTTCAATATTTTCAACTTTGTTTTTTCCCAGGGCGGCGTGTTGGGCCTGCCCCAACCCCCTGTCTCGCCGGTAGACCATCGTGCACAGCTCTGTTTAGAGTCCCACGCTGGCACTAGGACGGTGATCAGCCGCTCCTAACATGGAGAACAGACGACATGGTTAACATGGTCTAAGACATTAATCACTAAGGTCCCATGATCGGTTATTTTCAAATCAGTATCCGTAACTGAACAAATGGAATCAAAATGGGAATAAACGTGGTCAATTAAAGTTCTACTGTGCCTGGAAATACGCGTATATTCATTTACCGTTTGCTTTAAATATAAAAAAACTCAGTACTAGAATCAAGGAATGTCTCGAGCCAGTTCTCTAAAACTTCAATAAAACGATGGTCACTAGAACTGGGAGAATGATACAAAACAACATAATTACCCATCTTCATGCCACAACTGTAATGCCCAAGAACCAGTTACCATCAATAACTTCGTTGGTACGAAGGTTGAGTTGAACTTAAGGTTGCAAGGTTATGAAATAATTAGATGCTATGATCATATTTTGAATTGTTAAGATACAAGTAAAGGTTGCAAAGAATGTGTTTGACATAGTAAACCTGTTTATTTCACTTCATGAGAGTCACAATCAGCGATTTTTCACACACTCACTCAGCGATCAGCAAATCGCTGATTGTGACTCATAGAAAGCAAAATTTACAGGTTTTATGTTTCAAATGCATACTTTGTAACCTCTTCCCTCCTCTTGGCTAGTTTTTAACCTGGACGTTGGTGGGCGGGCCAAATCTTATGCTTCATAGTGGAGTGTTGGAGACGGTTGGTTTAGGTCCGGCATCGTTGGCTCATGCCGTGACAGAATAGCGTCATGAGCATGCGATGAGGATTACTGAGCTTCCCCTCTCTGATGAACCATTGCATAAGAGAACCAAAGTTCTAGCCTGAAGTGATAGTATCACACTTGTTACTCCTTTATTTGAAAGCCGCGTTGTAGTACGCTTACGTATAGGCACTGACGTTGGGTGCGATACTGGCGGGTTTTGCCGCAAATCACTCTTATTTTATTTATTTTTACGCAGATAGATTTATTTGGGTTTGCAAGGGAATTATACTATTGAAATATTTCAGAAAGTGCCCAGCGGTGCTCCTTCTATTTGCGTGACAAGCTTTCATTGTTATTTTCATTGAAGTATTACTCAGGAAACAATGTTAAACATCATTTTTGTACATGGTATTGCAACTAATCTTATATGTGCTTCATTTTGATTTGGGATAAGTGTTTGAACTATGGCTCGGGATTTCCACTGTGTACTATGTGTAATTTCCTCAAAACCCCCCAATAACCGACCTCTTCAATCCCTTCCTTTTCCCATGGCGTTCAAGTGGTCCGCATAGACTATTCAGCCATTTCCCGTCTTTTATCCTCGGCTATGGATTGACTGCGCTCCCATTGCCCCACCAAACGCTGCAAAATGAAAATAAAAAGGATTAAGTATGTATAACGAAAATGATAGCTTGGCTCTGTAAAGTTTTTTCGATTGAGCATGTTCAAATAAATCAATTCATAAAAAAATAAAAATAAGCTCGCAGCACAGTTCGACGCTTGCGTCTGAAACAACACACTTAATGGGAAATTCATTTGCAGTCGAATTGTTCGCCAAAGAGAAAATCGATGATGAGAATCGATCAACAATGATCTTGACGAACGAAACAGGATTTGACAGGAAGAATGTTCATCGTGACTCGATAACAAAAAACACAATGACGAAAATGATATTGCTCGAAATGAAGCGAATCAAAATCTATTTTTATAATATTATATTCTCCCTAAATTTAGTATTTTAATCTTTGAAATCGCTAGTGATTCAAAAGTAATGAATTTTTGAAAAAAGTCATTTTTTAAAAATAGTTTTTTTAGACCACCCTAACATGGCAATGGTCACCCTAATGACAACTTAAAAAAAATACGGGTCTAATGTTTTGCGATAAGGAACAAAACTACCAATTTTTACGAAATTCTGAGAACCACTATATTGGTTTGCTATGGAGTGGCTGATCAATCAAAACTCCGTTGAATTGTTTTCCAAGATTTTCTCTGTTTTTGTAAGAAATAATTCTCCAAAAATATATTAATTAAAATCAACAAATCATTAGAACCTTAAACAATTTTCTGAGGGACCATACTATATATTTTTTTTAAATCTGGGATCTTGCAACATTTGAGGGGATTACACAGCAAAAAAATAATTTTGATATCACATCAAAGTGGATGCACTACAATCATGTTGAAAATTTCATGTAATTTTTATGACCACATAAATAAACAAATGCAGTAAAAGCAGCGTAATGTCAGTTCATGCATTGTATTAATGATAATTTTGTCCTTTTTAGCAAGTAATATTACACCATATTTTCGACATGATTGTAGTGCATCCACTTTGACGTGATATCAAAATTATTTTTTTGCTGTGTAGAAGGAAAGGGATGTAAGTGGCTTTAATCGATTCTCTTCATCGACTTTTTCTTTCGTTAATAATTCAGCTGCAAACACATTCCCTGATTCGTGTGCCATTCTGGATGCTAGACGAGAACCTCCTTTATCAAACTATGTGGCAGCAATAGCACAAAATCTGTTTATAAAGCTGTGGCTATCAAAAGAGAAAGTCGATGAAGAGAATCGATCAAAGTCACTTACACCCTTTTCCTTCTAACCCCTTCATTTCAAGTCACAAATGTCGAAAAAAATTACAGAAGTTTTACACAGGTTTTATAACAAAAGTATCGTAGCTCTGAAACGTCCAATGAAACGAGAAGCTTGAAGGTCTTCCAGGGGATGATTTAGTGCATAATCATTGATGCCCTGGATACCATCCATCAATCGTCATTACCCTGATAGGTTTTGATTCTTCTGCTCTTGAGACTATTGTTCTTGTTCTTCTTCTTCTTCGGCCATCAATCCATCCACCTACTAACTAGTAACTGTTATTGGTTGGTTGGCTTTGACCCACAAAACCCGAATATAGATCCCAATCGAAAACTAATAAATAAGAACAGCAGCAGAGTAGCAGTTAGTAATTAGGAACGTCCGAAAGGAGCTAAATAAAGCAGAGGCACGACTATTTTCGTTCCATTGTTACGACGATGGTGGGAGGCAGAGGAGAAGAATATGGTTGTTCGTGTGGGTTGGGTTGGATGCGAAGACGGTCCCAGGAAGTGTGGCTGGGTGGTGGCCTAGGAAGGAACACTTAAAGCGAGGCACCCCGAGTAAGAAAATACTTCGATTTGAAAAAAAGCATTGCAAGTTAGTTTTGTTTTACTCGGGATGGCTTGCCGGACTGAAGTTGTTTTACTTTCGATTTTCGTCGATTTTCTCCGCTGCACTGCTACTTTACCAAAACAGGCAACCAACCGTAGTGAACCGCTATTGGTAGGTAGCTGTGCTTTGGTATTTTTATGCATCAGCACCCATTCAGCAAAAAAAAGCACACCAAGGGGAAGCTTAATACATTATAAGACGTCGTCGTAAAATGGATTTAGGAAAGTCTACAGCTATCGATTACCGATTAGGTTCTGGATTCAAGAAACTCGTGTGTAGTCGTTGGCAGTAGTGGCGCTGATCGATCGATTCCCATTTCCTGCGCACTCTAACGCTCTTTCCCCTGTCCCGTTCTAGGCCACAGCAAGATGCAACCACCAGTTTCGTGTTAGGCACTAACGAAGTGACCTCCGCTGCATCGACCACCACACAAAGGAAGCGAGAAAGTCATAAACCTACTGCCGTCGTGCCGTGGCTACTATTTAGATTGCCTGACTAATTATCATTATTGGAAATTCAAGTAGGCAGCGATCCACCACCGGTGGCGCTAAGGACACGAGATGGCCGGCGTCCTTGAATGCGCAAAGAGGGAAAATCAAATCTAAGCCATCTTAGGGGGAGAAAAGGGACTAAGGTCAGGCTGGACAAAGGTCACCGCAACAAGGCTGGAAGTAACATTGGCCTACTAAATTTAATAAACCCAGAGTAAGAGAGCCGCTGATAAAACGAATTCACTTGTAGTGGCTGCGAGCTGCTGATTTCCCAACCGAATTTCAAATGTTTGGTCAACGCAGCGAGAAGATGGATCTGAACAACGAGAACATCCAGTCCGCTTCGGAGATCTTCGAGAGTGAGTATTTCTGTCTTCAAACGCTGTCCTTTCATTAAACTCTATTTTCTTAAATTTTCGCCAGATCGCCTCTACTTTGTAGCCTTCAAGAAGGATTTCAAACCGAGGGGAACCTCCAACACGCACTACTTCAGCATCGACGATGAGCTGGTGTACGAGAACTTCTACAACGACTTCGGTCCGTTGAACATCTGCATGCTCTACCGGTACTGTCGGATGTTGAACGAGAAGCTCCGGTCGCCCCAGCACGCCAAGAAGAAAATCGTCCACTACACCACGGTCGATGCGTCCAAGCGGTTGAATGCAGCCTACCTGATGGGAGCCTACTCGGTGATCTATCTGAAACGAACGCCGGACGAGGCCCTGAAACCGCTAACCTCCGGCTGTAACGTTCTAACCTACACGAAGTTCTGCGACGCCTCCTACGTCTACTCCGGCTATCGGATATCGTTGTACGATTGCATCCATGCCGTGGCCAAGGCGCTGGATGCCGGATTCTTCCGTTTCGATGACTTCGACGCGCACCAGTACGAGTACTACGAACGGGTCGAGAACGGCGACTTCAACTGGATCGTTCCGGATAAATTTCTGGCGTTCTGTGGGCCGCACAGCAAGTCTCGGCTGGACAATGGCTATCCCATCCACGCACCGGAGACGTACTTTGATTACTTCCGGAAGTACAACGTGACGACGATCATCCGCTTGAATGTGAAGATTTACGACGCGGCCCGGTTCACCACGGCCGGCTTCACGCATCACGATTTGTTCTTCGTCGACGGGAGTACACCGAACGATGCCATACTGAAGAAGTTTCTGACGATCTGCGAGCAGACGGAAGGGGCCATTGCGGTGCACTGTAAAGGTGAGTTCTGGGACTGGGTGAAGCCATCTGATGAAAGCAGTGAAAAGTCCCATATAGATTTCTTTTGTCAGAAGTTAGTTATCCATTAGAATCGATGGTAAACTAGGGTCTGGTTAGGCAGGAGTCTTCAGGATAATTTTGTTATTCTACATGTTGAAAATTGTCTTGTTTTATTGGTTGGTATAACAGTTCGAACAATATCATTTTGTTCTGTTTCATTTTTTTTTTTACTTTTCTAACTAAGCTAACTATTTACATCCTCTATTTACAAAACACTAGGAATATATATTTCTTATCGTATGCCATTCTGAGACTAGGGCGTCGATGGCGTCTTTCGCATAGTTCTATCCTTTTTGTTAGTGGGTCAAAACCTGCTAGCCGATGAACCTCGAGTGTCCGTGCGCGTGATGGAAGATTCAAGATCAGTTTCAGGAACTTATTTTGTACGATTTGGCGTTTTCTGAGATGCGTTTTGGCGCACCCTTTCCACACCGGAGAGCCATATCTCAGCATAGGAGACACTACCTGCTTGAATACAGCAAGTTTGTTTGTTGTAGAAGTTTTTGACCGGCGAGCAATGATCGGGTAGAGTTTTTTAAGCATCACAATACCTTTGATGACTCGGTCATCTACGTGTGACCAAAATAGTAATTTGCTGACAAGGATCAAACCGAGGTAGCGTACCTCGGGCAACCATTCATCTCACGATTCAAAACCTTGACCTTTGTCGTCGGTTGCAAACGGTCGGTATTGCGATGCTGAAACACAATGGTTTGTTTTTTTTTAACTAGTTCGTTTATTTACTAGGCTCAGCCGTGTGTGACACTTTGCGGAGCTAAAAATCAGTAATGTTTGAATTTACATTTTATACAGCTGTAGTTCTATAGGTTAGTATTGGGTACCAATTACTCGTGGTTGGCTCGAGGTTAATGGGTTTGTGTCTTGGCAGCATTACCGCATATTTTCCAGGAGCTGAGATTGTCGATGCAGGCATCAAGTCCAGCTTGAAGTTTGGAGACGAGAGTCCGGAGGACTCGCCCTTTATAGCTGATAGTAGAATCATCAGCAAATAGCGACAGTGTACCTCCACCAGGCAAGGGTGGAATGTCTGAAGTGTTCAGATTATACAGTATCGGGCCCAATATGCTCCCCTGGGGAACGCCAGCGGTAACAGCATACGGCTCCGAAAGTGCACTGGCAACGCAGACCTGTAATGTTCTTCTTAGGAGGTAGTTTACGATACGGCTATGATCAATTTACCGCTCCGTCGAGACAACTTCTGGATGTCGTTCTTGAATCGTGAGGAGCTACATACCTAGAATGGTTAGAAGTGGTTCTGAACTCGTTAAGGGTGCCATTTTGATGCTACAAAAATCGCCAAAAATGCATTTTTTTCACTTCGGTTGTACCACAAAAAAAACACCCTAAACGCATTCTGATCCCGTTATTGTCATTATCAACATCTACGGGACATTCCACTGCACCATCCTAGAATGGTTAGAAGTGGTTCTGAACTCGTTAAGGGTGCCATTTTGATGCTACAAAAATCACCAAAAATGCATTTTTTTTACTTCGGTTGTACCACAAAAAAAAATTACCCTAAACGCATTCTGATCCCGTTATTGTCATTATCTACATCTAGGGGACATTCCATCGCATCATCCTAGAATGGTTAGAAGTGGTTCTGAACTCGTTAAGGGTGCCATTTTGATGCTACAAAAATCGCCAAAAATGCATTTTTTTTTTCGCTTCGGTTGAACCACAAAAAAACACCCTAAACGCATTCTGATCCCGTGATTGTCATTATCAACACCTACGGAACATTCCACTGCACCATCCTAGAATGGTTAGAAGTGGTTCTGAACTCGTTAAGGGTGCCATTTTGATGCTACAAAAATCGCCAAAAATTCATTTTTTTCACTTCGTGCATTTCACTGCATTGTGTCGGACATTAGACGGCGATGATTGTGATTGGTCCATGGGGTGTTATCAGCTCAATGCCGACCGCTTCGATGACAGATAGACGAAAATCGGGCACCGTCCTGAACTCGAGCCCTTTACGGATGGCAATGGCTACACCACCTTTTTTGAGATTTTACTCGGTCGAGCCTGTAGATGCCATGGTTCGGCAGACTGAAGTTTACGGTTGGTTTGAGATGTGTTTCTGAGAGAGAAACACGACGTCGATTCGATTTTCTTATAGAAATTCGATAATTTCTAGCTTTTTGGCCGCCAATGAGCGGGCATTCCAATTAAGGATTTGAATGGTGAATGTTGAACTTCATGAAGAAATGCATCATCTGTATCATCATTTTTTTTGCAGCTCAGCTACGAGTGTTGCGAGTTGTACGATCGTGTGCGTCACGGAATCCTTTGGCAGGTCCGTGTTTGGTCGGAAATCAGGCTGGTTTGCTTCTGAGAACCACTGATTTGGGCTGGGATTAGGCTGATATGATCTGAAGCCCGAAGGAGCTCCGCCTGGTGATAGGTTCCGTGTTCGTTGTTGATTAGGAAGCGGCAGGGGTGGGAGAGCTGGTACAGGTGTCAACCGTGGTGGTAGTAGTTCGGGGAGTGAATCGAGATCGATGAGTTTTTGCTTCTTCTTCTTGTTTCCTCGTTGATTCCTTGTTGTTGCTTGCACGTTGGTGCACGCCTTATCCGTTGACAAATGATTTCCACCGCAATTTGCACACTTGAAAGCACAAGCTCCTTCGAGGATGCAGTGTTCAGTGAAATGCTCTTGAGAGCAAAAGTTACACTTTGGATTCAAGTTGCAGTTCGGAGTGCCATGCCCAAAGTTTAAGCAGCGCTTGCACTCCGATGTACGCCTCCCATTTGATGATGACATTGTTGATCGAGCGGATAGCTTGTAAAGCACCGAGTGTTGCACTGCCTTTGGCAAAATGTACCAAATACACAGGCAATCACGATACTCTTTGTGATTACAATTGTACGTTCTATATATGCTAAATAGTGCATATTTATAGGAATTTCTACACCGTATTGCAAGTTCATATTATTACCTTCATACATCATCAATGTAATGCAAATTAAATCTCGTCAAAAGTTGTTTACGATATCTTCAAAATGTCATATCAATCATCTCTCGCAGATTTGTTTAGATTGGTAATAAAGCGAGTAAAACATGAATGGGAGAAACATTTTTTTTTTAATTGTAGCTTGTTTAACAAAAAAATTCCGGCCACAACCTATTCTAATCGAAACCCCTTTTTCCTTCCAGCCGGCCTTGGCCGCACGGGAACGCTCATCGGGGCGTACCTCACCAAGCACTACAACTTCAGCGCGCTGGAGGCGATCGCTTGGCTGCGGCTGTGTCGTCCCGGTTCCGTCATCGGGCACCAGCAGCAGTGGATGCTAAGCAAGGAGGCCTTCCTGATGAACGAGGGCGTGGCCTACCGGAAGCGGCATTCGATCAGCAAACCACCGAAGCACGAATTCGGAATCTACAGTATTAAACAGTACGACGATGGAGAAGAAGACAAAGAGGAGGGAACCGTGCAGAACTCCACGACGGCAGTGCGGACGTACCTCTCGACGTCGTCGTCGGAATCGTCATCGAGTGCTTCGTCGTCGGCAACGTCATCGACGACGACCACTCCGGTGGCTAACAAGGTACCCGTGGACACAATCGCCGGCAGCTGCAACAACAATCGGGTGCAGATGTTGCTGAAGGAACGGGTCCGGGGCATTTCTCACAAGGTGGACACGATGCGTCTGAATGACGAAGAGGAACAACAACAAAAGCAAAGGCAAAGCAACCACTTGAACAACAACTTTGATGGTGGAACGCCGGCCAGTTTGATTGTGGATGTGGTCGATGGCGTCGGTGCTTCGACACCACCGTTGAATCCGGATACGAAATGTGCCACGATTCCGGTGACCAGGAGATCGAAGACGGTGCGAACCAGCCGACTAATAACGTTGGAGCAATCGCAGCAGACGCAGGGCGATAAGCTGAACCAGATCAAGGCCATGCGGAGGAGACCCTCGCGATCGGCCAACGTGATCACGCAGTGGTAAGTAGAAGGGGCTTTTTGCGAATGTTTTGGGTATGACTAAAATGCTTGCCAACGTGTTTCGGATTTGCTTGTGCTAGCGAAATAGAAGCGGTGATGAGTGAGACTGGAGTGGGGCTTGACGATTGTTTGTACAGTAGAAAATTTAGGTTGGTTTTGGTTCCTGGGGTTACAGTCGATACTAACAGCGAATTTGTCCCAAAAATGATGCAGTTCCAACCACTTTCACTCATCGCTTTGTGCCGTCTCAAAATTCATACATTAATCAGCAATGATTTATTTGTTATAGAGGGTTTCTAATCCTTACGTTTCTTAATCTCTTCCTTATCTTCTGCTACGCTATCCATAATCGATTACTACCTGTGGCTGCGGTTCTTGGTACCTTGGTGGTCTTTAATCTAACCTCACCTTAGTCATGACGAAACGATCACTAATAACAACCGTTTTAATCTGAACCACGCCCATCACTATCATCACCATCATCATCATCACCACCACCATCATACCCGTGCTAAATCTCAACCATTCCGCAATACTACTGCTGCTATTAATCCGAACAACACAACCACCAACAATACAACTGCAACTTCAACCAACAACAACAACAACAACAATGCTACCATCATCAACAACAACAACAACAACAACAGTGATCGAATCGCTGCTGCTGCTGCTGGTGCTACTCCTGCAAGTATGCAAGCAAATAATCTCTTGAATCAAATCACCTCATCCAACAACAACAACAACAACAACAATCATCACAACAATCCACAACAACGCGTTCCAGCCTCAGCAACCGAAGCAGGAGCGACGGCAACATCACTCAAACCGCCGCCATCAACGGCAACGGCACCGTCGGCAGCCGAAGGAGTTCCTGTGCAACCTGCTGCCACCGGCAGCAATTCTACGGCGCCAACGACGGCTACGGCGGTTGCCAGTAAACGAATCACAGAAGAACTGCCAGCCGATCCGGATCGAGGGGGAAAGCAGCAGTTAACAACAGCAGAAGCTACTAACAATACGACACATTCTAATACCACTTCTAATTCTACGACAACGGTGACGAGTGCCTCCGCAGGAGGAACAGGTGGGGGAGGAGGAGGAGGAGGAGGATGTAATGCCGCCAGTTTGTTGCTACAATGTGCCACCAGGACGCAGAACAATCGGCTGTTCAGCAAGAGGTTAGTGTTAGTGGTTAAGTGAATTTGTAAATATTATGGATTTTTTTCCCGAAACCTCCCGAACCTCTCCTGATCCCATTCATCCGAAATTCCTATCATTTCCTAGCCATCTCAATTGTGCGCAGATCTTCGGATTCGAATCTATCCTGGTGTGTTTTCGTTTAGGTAGATAATTTCAATCACCAGAAGTATCATTAAAGGGTGATACGGTCAAAATTTGGTCAAGGGAAAACGCGTGTAAATCGGTGAAATCGTTTATTTAAAAAATCAAATTAAATTTCTTTTTTAAGTTCAATTAGTATAAAATTCAGGAAAAATATTCAGTTAGGCTTCCGCTTTTCCAAATCCGAATTGCCGGGCCTTACGCTTGACCCCTGCCATCAGATTTTGTACAGCCACCTTGTCCACCTTCTTCGCCGCAGAAAGCCAGTTTGCCTTGAACTGCTGCTCGCCCTTAGCAGTTTTTTTGGTCTTCTTTAGGTTCCGCTTGACAATAGCCCAATATTTCTCAATTGGGCGGAGCTCTGGCGTGTTGGGAGGGTTCTTGTCCTTGGGAACCACCTGCACGTTGTTGGCGGCGTACCACTCCATGGCCTTTTTACCGTAATGGCAAGATGTCAAATCCGGCCAAAACAGTACGGAACAACCGTGTTTCTTCAGGAAAGGCAGCAGACGTTTATTCAAACACTCTTTCACGTAAATTTCTTGGTTGACAGTCCCGGAAGCTATGAAAATGCTGCTTTTCAAGTCACAGGTACAGATGGCTTGCCAAACCAGATATTTCTTTGCGAACTTTGACAGTTTCATGTGCTTGAAAACATCTGCTACCTTTCCCCTTCCTTTTGCCGTATAAAACTCCTGTCCCGGAAGCTGCTTGTAGTCGGCTTTGACGTAGGTTTCGTCGTCCATTACCACGCAGTCAAACTTCGTCAGCATCGTCGTGTACAGCCTCCGGGATCGCGCTTTGGCCGTCGTATTTTGTTTATCATCGCGATTTGGAGTCACTACCTTCTTGTAAGTCGATAGTCTGGCTCGTTTTTTGGCTCGATGCACGGTTGTAGACGATACACCCAGCTTATTTGCGGCATCTCGGAGAGAGAGGTTAGGGTTTCGCTTGAAACTACCGGCAACTCTCTTTGTCGTCTCAGCGGCTTCCGGTTTTCGATTTCCCCCCGATCCAGACTTCCTGGCTGTCGACAAACGTTCCCCAAACACTTTAATTACATTTGTAACGGTTGATTTGGCAACTTTTAGCGATTTTGCCAACTTTGCGTGCGAGTAGCTCGGATTTTCGCGATGCGCGAGCAAAATTTTGATACGCTGCTCTTCTTGCTTGGACGGCATTTTGACAACTGAAGAGTGAATTCCAAAATCAAAATAGGAGCAACATTCTACACACACACACCTTCAAAATGAGGGGTGTTCAGGTTTTTTAAATGCAAAATTGAAAGAAATACGTCAAGTTGATATTGACCAAATTTTGACCGTATCACCCTTTAAGCTGAAGAACAGACGAGGAGTCTCTTGACGTCAACATTGCCTTCCGCCAGAACATCGCTTGGAAGACCTTTCAAACTTCCCATTGAATTGATCTAAAGTTTCCTTAGAAGTACTATGAACTTCCCCTGGAATACTACTCTGAATAGCATTTGGTCTTAGTTTAGTATGTTCTGAAACATTAATAGAAGATAGCCAGAATCAAAGAAGATCTTCAAACCGCCAATACAGGTCGTTTGAACTGCAGTGAATGGCTGAAAGTACCGGAACGACATTCTCTGGAAAACTTCAAATTTTCCAGCTCATCTGACCTTGATTCGAAATCTTCTGGACTCATCTAATGGAAGATCTTCAAACTTTTCGGGGAAGCTACACCTAAGATGACGGCCCAATCTTTATAAGCCAACCACCTTCTGTCTCAGAAATCTACAAATTCAAGCTGAACATTGCATTAGGTCCTAAGTAACATTGACAGATTCTCTTCGTCGATTTTCTCTCTGTATCCCCACGGCCATCGGTAAAGACATTTTCAGGTATTTTCAGCACACAGATCGATAAAAGAACCTTTTATCTAGAGAGGGTCTAGTATAAAAGAGGAGCGGACTGACTGGTTTTGAGCCAAATGAACTGTCAAAGCCAGAGCCAATCAAGCAGCGCCTATCTTAATTATATTGGCAGTGTTGCTAGAAATCATTTAGGCATAGGTTGCCAAGGCAGTTTGTTTTGAATCCGCTCCTCTCTAATGTAAGCCATAGTCTGTACGGGGTATAAAGATGCGCAGGAAGCATGATTGCGATATCAAATCTCGACGAACAATTCAAAAATTCCTATCTGCACCCACCCTTCGAATGGGTGATATCAGTTGCTTAGTCATTTGACGAAGGCATGGATCATACTCATTTGAGAAACGCTTGATGTCATTCAACTTAGTCTTAGTGTAACCTACACATAAACTGAGTACTATGAGTATATGGGAAAAATTTGCCGCCGAACCTTGAATATCAGTACGTTCCATACGATGTCAATGTCATTTGCACACTGACATTGAGGCGAGTGACATTGATATTGGCACTGTTTGGGCTGATACTGACATCAAGGGGTTAGTGAAAATCGGCATTTTTCAGATCCAGCGATGCAGGATCTCCCGGCGGTTTTCCAGGCTTTGGCCACAGCACAAGCTTTTGTACCTTCCATCTATCAGGAAACTGACCCTCGTCCAGAAATTTCTGCAGCACTATCCTGAACATGTCCGGGAACGTCTGCATCGCCGCTTTCAACGCCACGTTGGGAATTCCATCCGGGCCGGGAGCTTTCTTCGCCTTCAAACCTTCCGCTGCTGCTAGGAATTCCTCATTGGAGACTTGTTCAACGGTGTCTCCATCTTCCTCGCCATATGGTGTAGGTGGCCAGGTCGTTAGGTCATGCTGTGGGAAAAGTCCCTCCACGATGACTTTTAGCTTGTTGGGAAACACTTCAACCGGCATCATTGGATCTCTGATCTTCGCCATCGCGACTCGGTATGCACAGCTCCTTGAAACTGTTTGACTTGCTCAGCTTTATCTTTCTTTTTAGTGCAGCCCTGGCCTCTCGGAACACCCCCTGCGCTCCTCTCTGTCTGCTTCCGGTTTTTGCTTTCTGAACGCGCCTTCTGGCTAGAAGACAACTAGCACGCCGCCTGTTCGTTGGTTCCAGTTTTCTCGGCATAGTTGTGTCACATGCCCTTGCTAATGATTCGGTCAACTCGTTCGCGCTTAGACCCGGGACGCTGCTGTCTACCCTTAGAGCTTCGATGAAGAGATCCTTATTGAATGCATTTCTACCGGTGTCCGTTCGCCGATACTGTACCGGATCGCCTGATGGTCATTATGGGTGTACTCTTTGCACACTCTCCAGTTCATATTTGCCACTAGCGACGTGTACTGCAGAAAGTGACGTCGATAATGGATTCTCTACCATCTTTGCGGAAGGTTCTGATGGTTCCTAAGTTGATCAGACTGACGTTTAACTTTGCCAGAGCTTCCAGCAGGCTATACCCTCTTGCGTTGGTACACCTGCTCCCCCAATCCACTGCCCAAGCATTGAAATCTCCTGCGATGAAGACTGGTCTCCGTCCAATGAGCTCTCCGGTGAGCCCATCTAGCATCTGGTGGAACTGCTCAATTGTCCATCTCGGAGGTGCGTAGATTCCATTGATTTTGGCGATCACGAAACCTTCGTATGACTTGTATGGCCGCCATTCCTGCTCTATCCGCCACCCAGTTACCATTATCGAGAGGGACTCGATATGGCTCTGCAATGATAGCAACGTCGCACTTTGTTTCCGTTGTCGACTGCCACAACAGTTGCTGTGCTGTGTTACAATGATTGAGATTTATGTGGGTTACCTCCATTATTGCTGGCTCACCATCGCCTTCTTGAACTCTGGGCACCTGAAACTTCCCGTCACATGGCCGTTTCCGTCCTCCTTTTTGCAGAGCATGCACCTCGGTTGCTTTGTACAGTCTTTTGCAACGTGACCCTTCTTTCCGCATTTCCTGCACAGATCAGATCTGTCAGGGCCTTTGCAGTTTCTCGCCTGGTGACCGAAGCCCATGCATTTGTAGCTCTCCATTTTCTTAGACACCCGAGGAATAGCTTTCAACGGGCACACTGACCACCCAACCTTGATTCGGCCCGTCTTCAGCAGCTCGTTAGCTGCGTCCATACGCCTTCCTCAACCGAATTGCCATCGGTACGTCTCCCAGGTTGCATTGCACCTTCAGCGCACTTTTCAACTAGTCTTCCGTTGTGATCTCGTCCAGATCCCTGCACTCGACCACTGACTCCTGGGATAAGGCTCTTACGTTCGCCGTCTCGCCAAGAGATTTTTCGACGAGCTCCTCAAAAGTTGCGCTCTTAACCGTAGGATCCCTTTTCAGCTCGAATAGCATCTCGCCTTTCTGGGTTTGCCTGGTTTTCACCACGTTCTCGCCTAGTTGTTTCAACTCCGGATCCTCTCTCACTTTCCGAAGAAGTGCTGCGTAGAACGTTTTGTCCTTCGCCTCAACAACCAGAGCGTCACCCTTGCCGCTCTCCCTACGAGGCCTAGCCGCTCTCCCTACGAGGCCTAGGCTTCTCCTTGTTCTTCCTGTCTTCCTTCTTCTTCTCTTCCTTCTTCCTCGCTTCCTCTTCCTTCTGTTTTTCTTCCTCTCCTTCTGGTTCTCGACGTTACGCCACCCATCATTTTCTCCCATCTCCTTGATGCCATCCTCGTCATCCCTGCGTATTTTGGGCTTTTGTGGGTGGGTCCCTTCGGCGTCTCATGTACTTCAGCCAGTCTTATGCTCTCCTTGGCCTCCAGCCGAGCCTTTTCGGCATTTTTGGCTCTTTTTCTCAACTCTTGGAATTCCCAATCTCAAACTGTTATGCCGGATTTGATTCCAGTCACAAGTTGCTTGATCTCTTTGTGTGTGCGTTGTTTCTATCCTTTACGAACACATAGAGTTCATCGATCTTCCTCCTTA